TTCCTTGAAAAGTTTGTTAAAATCACTGGAGGAAAGGGAGCAAATGATACCAGCAAGACTGACAAGGTTTATTCACCCAACAGTGACGAACACAAGGCTGTTAAAAGTCCCACAAGAAGCCCAGCTCAAGTAGCTAAATTCCCGAATAACTCCTGAATTCCAAGGCTTGGGTTCTCTGCCTCAGATTCCCACACATTTAATATAAAATCCTTTAACCCTTAACATGTGAAGTTACCCAAAAATGTTCCAGGTAAGTAGGGTTAGAGGGAGAAGGAAGAGAACAACAGAAAGACAGAAGACCCATAGAAAGAGATGCACATAAGTGCCAACTGCTTGGGTTCCAGCATCACCAACAGAGAAACCCCAGGAGAAGGCAAGATCCAGACCCTGGGCTGGGCTCATGCTCTGGCTTTTAACCCCCTGGGCCTTCATGGGCCCGCCCCTGGGGTGGGACTGCCAGCTGCTTGTCCAATCAGAGTCAGGGTAGGCACCAGCTGCCTATGTGTGATTGATTGATTAACAGCTCAGCCAATCAGAGCTGGGTAAACACCATCCTCTGCTGTGTGATTGACAGCTCTGCCAGGCCAGGGCTGGGGGTGGGGCTCTGTCCCACCACAAACCAAGGCCTGACCCGGCTCTGGCCCCACACGGGCATTCCGAGCATTAGGACATCGATCTCATCCAGACTCTGACAGCAACCATGGTGACACTTTGGAACCTTATGGAACCACGGGTCAGTTGAGACAATGGAGATCCAAGGAAAGGATGGTGAGACAATGGAATCCAGGAATCATGGAATCAAGGAGACCATTGTACAACTCAGGGGCCCTATGGATTCAAGGGTCAGTGATAGAACTGTTTTGTCCGAATAAAAAAGGAGCCCTTGTGACACAATGGGGCAGCATGGAGCCAAGGGACTCCTATGACTCTGTTGGGACTCATGAAACCAAGAAGCCATTGTGACATTGCCAGACCTCATGGAATCGAGACCATTGTGACAATGTGAGGTTCCATGAAATCAAGGGAACATGGAACAGGTCTGCCTGGTTTGGCCTCCTGGGGA